GGGGTAAGAATGGTGAAATCCAAATGAAATATAATAGAAGGGGCAATAATATAAGGTGAGCAGTACCCATTGATAATTGCTATTAGAAAGAACAGAAAGCTCCTGTTCGTATTGTATTATGTAAATGTGGTGTATGTCTAAGTTTTGTGTATGTATTTTACATGTTTGTTAATTTTTAAAAAAAATTTTTTTTAAAGAATTTACTGAACAGTGAAGTAACTAAATTTTACTGAGTTTACTAAGTTAGTCGTTACTAAGGTTCTTGATAAATGACTATCAGACTTTGAAAACCTGGTATCACTGGATCATGTTCAGCAATTTTATTGAATTAACTTTAACTAAAAAGGTTTTTAATTTGGATTTTGAATAAATGTGCAATTAATTGTTACAGTTTTGAATTTTACTGTTACTATCTTCCTTCTGCCGTGCAAACCGCCCAGTCACATGACCCCCCCAGCCATGGCCAACAAGCCACACCCACAAAACCGGTAGTAAAAAATTGAATTCCATCATTGGGTGGGGGGCACTGAGGATCAGTTTGTAGCACCAAAGGGGCGGTGGACTGAAAAAGTTTGGGAACCACTGACCTAGATAATTATGGTGACTAAAAAGAAGAAAAGCTCTATGTGAACATTATGCTCAGTCCGAATGAAGGCTATCATATCCACGCAGGAAATCCACAGTAATTGGGGAGACTTAAAACAGAGTATGGTAAACTATGGTACTATAGCATCCTCCACTACTGTTTATTGCATATTAAATGTACAAAACATGGTGCATAAGTATTTACTCTTCTGAAACTCTATTCCCTCCTGCTAAAAAATTCCTGTTCCAGGGGTGAAAGAATATACCATAGCATGGGATTGTTGAAAACCTTTAATCATTCCACTTGGAAATCAATACTATTTTTACCAATATTTGCCTGTCTATGTGGCAATTGATTTTCACATCTAGGAATGTAACATTTATTTCTGAGTAGCATCAGAATATTGAAGACAGTACAAGACAAAACAGCTAAAAATACTACAAGACTTTTACACACTTGTCTACGATTCATCAAATGTTCATCGTAGAATGGAAAAAAATACACTCAAACACAGAATGAAAAGCTGCTATATCTATCTGTTGTTCTCTTCCTTTGTTTTCCCCTCTATCTCACATCGTAGAGAGATCACCTTCTTGCTCTTTTCAGTAACAATGGCCAAGCCAATATTTAAGTTGCTAACAGCTATGGCCTACCGAGATATTTCCAAAGTCAGTTTTAGAAAGTCAGATGAAGAATGAGACAGTCTTGAAGAAAAACCTGTTTGCAAAATGAAACTGAAACTTTCTTTAATCCTTTGGAGGTGGCAGTACAGGTGATTTTGTCTGGAAAAGCCTAAGAAGTTTTCGGGCTGGTGATTTCTCTAATGTCAGGAAAGTTCTAGATGCTGAAATAGAAAGAATGTTGTATTAATTCCAGATACTTATGCTATTAACTGAATGCTGGAGATCAGCAAAATAATGGACCCTAACAAGACACTAAAAATCTTAATATAGCGCTGTTAAGCTTTATGGTCATGTAATCATTTAAGAAATAGGTATTATTGCAGATGTTAAGGATAGTTGTTGGAAATGTGACCTATTTGTTTTGGAGAAGGTAGCATTTTCTATTAATCAAAGAATACAGCAATGTTTACTATTATAGGTGAGATTTTCTGATATTTTACAATGATAACATGTATATTATAGTAATGAATTTATTGGTAAACCTGTGACTATTGATAATATAAAATATAAGGCAGATATTTTTCTCTTTTTCTTAGTTTGTATTCTTTGTTAGGCATTATTTAATTTGTTTTCATTTTTTAAGTTTAAAGTTTGTTTTAATTATAAGAATGTTAAATAATAAAAACATTTAATAAAGCTTCCACACTTGTAGAAAGATAAATGCCATTTTTTGCAGTCTAATTTAATTGTGAATTCAGACATAACAAACTATAGTTAAAACTACAAACAAGTTTTCCCAACAAAACTCATGATATATCTAATGTAAAATCAGCCCAAAATATATTTAACCTTTCTCATACAATTTGTTTTCTATTCCAATGGATTTACTGTATAACTAAATCGGTTAATGTAACATACATTTCCAAGATTATATTATAATCCGAATCTGTTAATGTAACATATCTTTCCAATGTGCAATGCAGCAGTTTCTCTTAATGGAGAGTAAAATCAATATGAACTGAATTGCATTAACATCAGCAATACTGGTATTTACAGGTTGGATCCAGAGTAATCTTGCCATAAACCAAAAAAGCTGATTCTGCTTTACAGAAAACAGAAATACAATGTAGGAAAAGGAGATTTTCCTAATGTCCAAACCATTGTGACAATGTCTTATACAGTACTGTTCTGTAAAGTTCCCCAATTATCCAGAACAACTTTTCAGGGTAAAATAGTAAATGTTCGTGTGTTGTCAGTTTCCATTCTATGTCATGACAAAAAATCCCAATATTAATCAAGTTAATACAATTACATCCCATGAGTTTAATATTGTTCTTACTATTACAATTAAAATAGAACTTAACTTCCTCCAGTGCTTGGTGATGGGGGACATTTAAAAATCTAAAACCTCATAACAATAAAGCTGAAAATCAGCTTGAAATAAATAGGTAGGGTGGGAGAACAACAGACCCTCACTTTCAACATTTGGGTTACCTGAAATTAGACTTCAGACAGACCAAATGTATACATTACATACAACAAATTAACTCCTTTTGTAACTTACATGCATGAGTGATTATTTTTTGTTTGGTGCATTGGGTATATGTATTAGGCAGAGTCTAATACATGGAGTCATGCAGTGTAGAAATTAAATAAATATACAAAATAAACTTTTGATATGGAAAAAAAACCACTCGGAATTTGTTTCAGTTATACAAAAATAATAGCCACTCCATGACTTACCAAGTTGTTCTGATAGTTTTTGGAGATATAATGTAGTATCTTCTGCATAGGTCTGACAAACTTTCCCCAACTGACTGATTTCATCAAGCTGAAAAGATATATTATTTAAAAGGTGACAATGCAGCAGAAATGATCTATTCTGATCCTTTAAATGACCAGTTCCCTCTATTATTCTAAATTAAATATTACTGGAGTGGATCATTAGAACTTCCAAATTCAACTAACCAATGTGAAATGTTTAAGAAGTTCCTTCTTAGACTCTTGGTTAGCCTCCTTCAGAATTTCCTCCCACCCTGCCCCAATGCTAACAGAATTCAGGCTGCTTCCCTTTCCCACCATCTCTTTAGCAAGAGGGGTGGCAGGTGGGGTGGGGAAGAAGTGAGAGGCGTGGAGCAAGACGTGGCTCCTCGTTGTCTCTTCTCCCCCTCTCGCCGGGCATGGCAGGCTTCCTCTGCCGCTTCCAAGCCGGGGCAGAGAGGAGGCAAAACATTCACCCCTGGGGATGAATCAGATGCTTCACTGGAGAAACTGTCCCATGCCAACCCAGGCCTCCTAAATCTCTCATTCCCCAGATTGTCCCCATTGTAAAGAAAGCCCAACCTGATGCAGGGCAGTGACAGGACACGTCAGAGCAGTGCCGGCTAGATGCTCGGTCGGCACAAAGAACAGGGCGGGGGGGGGAGGCGATGGGGGTGACAGGACATGCAGTCCCATGCTTCCTTCATCCCCAAAATATTAAGACACCCTCCCTCCGATAATAAGACTAAGGCCATATTTCGTGGGTCAAAATAAAATCAGACCCTGTCTTATTTTTGGGGAAACACAGTATCACTTAGATGGCTTTACCCACATCCTCACTGTCTATTCCTCATGCCCAGGAAAAATGTTGCATCCTTCCCTGACAAGTGTACTGTTCAAGTGCCTTTCTACCTCAACAATCTATGTTTGGTTATTATTTTACCTCTGCTATAAAGTTTTCAGTTTCCATTATTGCACCATTGTTTTGATATTCCTTACTGCCTTTTTAAAATTCATGCTAGTTAATAACATTAAATTTTAAAAAGACAGTAAGGAGTGACAAAACAATGGTACAATAACTGATGTCATCACTCACCACGCCCTCTAGGCAATAAAAGACTTCTGCTTGACAATCTAGTATTTTCTGATAGTCTGGCTTGGCTTGAAGTACATGGGCTTGGGATGTCCCAAGGTAGCTGAAAGATTCCTCTGGTGCCTGTTTCAGCTCGCATGACTCTAGCTGCCTTAAAAGATAAAAAAGAAGATCACAATAATCAGCACTTAATGGCCAGTAAATTCACTATTACAAGGTATGTGATTGTCAGATTTTGGCCCAACCCTCATTCATTCATTCTGGGTTCCCAGTCCTCCCTTTTTTCTCAGCTAGATGCCAACTATCAGTTCCCAACAATATCTGACCGGCAAGCCTTTCCTTCACCTTTTGGGGAAATGAGAAGGGAATCCTTCTGTTCAGGATAAAAAAACCAAATCCCTTTAGAGGTACAATATTACTTTCATATTTGTTATATGTTACCAAACCTGGTGCAGCCCTTAGAGACTTCAAATCCCAGTGAACAATTATAAGGTTAATAAAATAAGGAAAAAATTCTGATCAAACATTAACGGAATTATATGACTCCTTAGTTAAAACTCTTTCCTGACCCTCAAAATTGGATGTGCCTCCTTATCTTCAACAATCCCCAACCTCTAGTCTTCCCCCTTTTAGAAGTTTCCAACTTCCCTTCCTGGAGAGATGAAGGTTAGCCATTTCTTAGCAGCTAGTCACTAAAAACAATATTAACTATTGCTTTCCATTTCAGTTCAACCACTCTTGAAAAATTCAACAGCATCAACAAATTTTGACCAGTTCACATTTTACTACTCCCTCACTCAAATTGCTAACTATTTGGAAATATTAAAAAAACACCAGTTTTAATATTTGGGGTTTACCTACTAATGGCAATTAAAACGCATAGGCCTGTCCATACTCACTTTTTTTCTGTTGTCGTCCATTGCATTACATTATATAAATTTTATAGCCTTTGATTTTGTAACCCTGCTTTCAGAATAATCTAAGGATAAAGATCCTAACCTGGATATTTCTTCCATTTTTTTCTGATAAGAAAGTAGCAGCTCATCCCAAGCTTGATTCTCTGCTGAAAACCTGTTAAAATACAGATTATAATTAGCTTCAGCACCAGAGACATTAGCACTGTCATTTGCTGTCATTAACTTGAAGTAGCCTTAACAGAAAGGTCTCTTGAGAATTGTATATGGCAGTACATGGTCCATCAATACTGTACACTCTTTGTCTTCCATATTCTCGCGGGATGTTCATAAATCAGTTCCATTCAGCTAAGACTAATAAAATTAACTCAATTTTCATGTGATGGAAACAGACAGAGCTAATCCATAGTTTTAAACAATTTTGGGAGTCAGTGCAAGTGCTTGGATGATACATTATGCAATGCTCATGTGGTTCTGAGAATTACTACCTACTTTAATACAGGAAGTCCATCTTAAGATCTTATAATAATCTCACCTATAACACATGACTGCTTTGAAATGCTGGAGGGGTTATTACAATCAAAATGGAATTTTCTTCCATCTTTAAAAGTTCAGTCAGTTTTATAGTTTTTTAACGAACATGGTTCAGGTATGGATGATATATGGATTATAAAATGAATTAACCTCTTCTTGCTTCCAGTTTCATTGTTTTAATAGAAATAACAGACTTTAACCAATGGATTTTTTAAAGTAAAATTTTAGTAAATTAATAAATAAATACTAACAGGGAAGCATTCTTTAAAGCTTCTTTCCCTTTCAGGAACAGAAAATGACATCAAGGCATTAAAAATGAATGATTGAATGGGTTAAATTTATAAATAGAAAATGCTTATAAAGCAGAAAAGCTTTTATTAGTCTATGTTAGACAAGTATTGCAATTACCGTATTTTTCGGACTGTAAGATGCACCGGAGTATAAGATGCAGCAAGGTTTTGAAGAGGATTTTCTTTTTAAGTTTTTGCACTCTGCATACCTCCCAAAAACGGCCTGTTTTTCATGAAAACGGGCCTGTTTTGTTTTGTTTTTTCAAAAAAAGGACATGAATATCCCTTAGGTTTGTAGAATGCTCCTGGGGGGTGGGGTGAGGGCCAAAAATGAGCAAAAAAGGCCCATTTCTGGGGAAAACGGGCCAGTTTTTTGTTTAAAAAAGGGCATGGATAGCCTTTAGGAGCTTATAGAGTGCTCCTGGGGGCTGAGGGCAAAATTGAGCAAAAAATGGCCCATTTTTCGCTCATTTCTGCCTTCCCCAGCCCCCAAGAGCTCTCTGAAAGCCTTCTAAAGGCTATGCACAGCCATTTTGGTGAAGAAGGCAGTTTCAGGAGGCAAAATATGCTGTATTCAGTGTATAAGACGCACCCAGATTTTCAGCCTCTTTTTTGAGGGAAAAAGGTGCGTCTTATACTCTGAAAAATAAGGTACATTATAAAACATACCATATCAGATTTAGAAAAAAAAACCAGTACAAAAAACAATGGCCTAATATCTCTTGGTACTTCACAAAAAGAAAACTAAGAGCAAATAAACAATGGGGTTCCAGAGAAAAAAGCACAGCATGGATATTGCTGTGAAATTTTGGTTCCATTAGTCAAGTACATTTTGTTCATTAAAAGCCTGAATGACTGGATCCAAAAGTCAACATCCTGAGTCATTTGCTTTTTATAGCTATGCAGAGGATTCTAGAATGCTCCACTAGATTACTGCAATGTGTTATATTCTAGACTGCCCTTGGCTATACCTCAGAAACTTCAGTTACTTCAACCTACTGTGGCAGAGGTATGACTGCAATGAGGCAATAGAAACATAATATTCAAATTCTTCAGAGTCTTCACTAGCTTCCAGTTTTTCCCCAGTCTCAATTCAAGATGGTTGCTTTAACTACAAAGCCATTTACAATTTAAAATCATCTCTTCTTATTGTATCCTACTTATAACATAATTGAAAGACCTGCTTAGGACACCCTTCAACTCAGGGCCATTCTTTATCATCTCTTTTGGTTTTATACTCCAAAAAATACGGTACATGTTTTATAAAAACACAAATTTTTATTCTCTCTTATGTGGGCATAATGTTACTGATATTTTAAGAAAAGGAAGAGCCCATGGTTGTTTGCACTTGTTCCTGGAGCAAATTGCACATTGTCACTCCACTTAAAGCATTTAATCATGCATCAACATATTATGCTAATGAGAACAAATATGCTTAAGGTTCATTCTCATTTGCATGGCGATTAGTTCAGATATAATGCTGAATTATGTTTAACTATGAGAGAGAAGGAAGAATTTGAACCAGATGGGAAAGAACGTTTTAGCCTACAATCAGATGGCTAGGTGTAATACAGCACTATTTTAATCAAGCTTCCTGTTAGAACAAACTAAGCAATAGTTAATGACAAAATAAAAAGACTTTCATTTTAGAACAAAGATAAATCAACCCTTTACCACTTTATTGTCCAGGAAAGACAATCTTTTCCTAGCTAGGAGTAATAATTTGTTCTTTGACCTCCAAGGTTTACAAAAGTATGGCAGGGAAGCAGTGATGTAACTGGAGGACCTAGAATCTCTTTTTATGGCCACACTTTCTGTCGTAAAACATTACTACACTAAAAAAAAAAACCTTCCCTAGATACTTTCACGAAATTTATTCTCCACTGAAAATCACCAAGTTGAGTTGATTACTGCAGCACCCTTATTATTACAGCGCATTTGGGTTTGGAATCTTATCTTACTTCACAATTGTGTCCTTTAAGGTAATCACCAATTTATTGAATGCAGGATCCGACAGACCACTAAAATAGAAAGAAGATGCAGAGTTAAGACACTATTAAGTTAAAGGAAACTAAAATTGGTTTCTAATTTATTGTGCTGTGTTCTTTCTACAATGTTAATATGCAATTCTTATGCAACCAGCATACAACGAAGAGAATATCTGTAGCTTGGGGGTGAACTGTTGGGTTATTGTAAATCTCTAAGCTTTATCATCTAGAAAGCAGATCTAAAGTTTTAGTGTTTGTGTGAGAATGCTATTGCTTCTAGCATCACATCCCAATCTTAGCTAAGAATCCCGAGTACTGAATTCATGGGTGTTCCTATGATTTCTTAATATATTTGTCCATTGAACTGAAAGGCAAAGATTGATGAATGTCGTGATTCTGGGTTTCAGTATATTTTATTAGGTTGCATGTCTGTTTGTGTAATGATGTTGCAGTGGTTTTTTGGGTACTTCTGGATCTATGGACATGAAGAGTTCTATGACATCAAGTGAAGTCATAATTTCATCTTCTTCTATTCTTAGGTCCTTGATATTGTGAAAGCTCTATAATGGAGCATTAATAAGAGTACAGGTAATCCTCAACTTACAACTACAATTGAGCCCAAAAGTCATGTTGCTAAATGAAAATTTTGTTAAGTGAGTTTTGCCCTACTTTATAACTTTTTGGGCACATTTGTTAAGTGAATCACTGCAGTTGTTAAATTAATAACAAAATTTAAATGAACCTGGTTTCCCCATTGACTTTGCTTGTCGGAAGGTTGCAAAAGGGGATCACATGACTCCAGGACACCGCAACTGTCATAAATGTGAATCAGTTGTCAAGCATCTGAATCTAAACCACATGACCATGGGGATGTGGCAACAGTCATAAGTATGAAAAACGGTCATGTCATTTTTGTTATTAATT